CTCAAGAGCAGATTTGACCGTGCAGAAGAAAGTATCAGAGAACTGAAATATAATATAATAATACAATATATACAATAAATATAATATATAATATATAAGCATATATTATATAAATATATTAATATATTAATACATAATTTATATAATATATTGTAAAATATGTAATAAATATGTATTGTATATAATATAGAATATAATGTATAATATAATATAATAATAATATAATATCTCAGAGAAGAAAAAATAGAGCAGAGTCTAACAGATGACTGGGATTACTGGTGTATAATCAAAGGTACTGACAGAGATATAATGAACGTCTCAGAAGGAGAGGAGAAAAAGAAGGGTGTGGAAAGAATATTTTAGGAAATAATTGCCCAAAACTTCCTTAAATTAGATGGAAAAATACTAACCTACACAACTATGAATGGCACAAACCTGAAAGTAGGTGAAATACCAAGGGATCCAGCAGTCCACACACTTCATAATAATACTGGTATAATCCAAAGACAGTCTTCAAAGCAGCAAGAGAGAAGTGACTCACTGTATACACAGGGTCCTCAATAAGACTTACAGTTGATTCGTCATCAGAATCAATAGAAGCCAGAGAAAAATGGAACAGCATAGTTATAGTGTTGAATGAAAAATAACTGTTAATGAGGAATTCAATAGCTAGCGTGATAGTCCTCCACACATGAAGGATAAATTAGAGACATTTTCAGATCAACGAGAACTTAGAGAGTTTTTGCTAGCAAAGAAGCCCTGCAATAAATACTGTTGGGAGTTCATGAGGTTGAAATTAAAGGTCATAAGGCAGTCACTCAGACCCACATGAAGAAAAAACAAATACTGGCTAACATATTTATGTGGGTAAATACAACAGAAAAAAATATATATATACACACTTTGGCTTAGTAGTTAAGATTTCTGGGTCCCACGCTGAAGTGCCCCAGTTCAGATCCTGGCTCCGGCTCCTGACTCCAGTTTCCTTCCTGTGCTGAGCCTGGGAGGCAGCAGTGATAACTCAAGTCATTGGGCTCCTGCCACTCACATGGGGGACCTGAATCGAGTTTCTGAGTCCTGACTGCAGCCCCAATCCAGCCCGGCTTCAGTCAGTGTAGGTGTTTGAGGAGTGACCCAGCAGATGGGAACTGTCTCTTTGCATCTCTCTGTTGTTCAAATAAAGACTACATTAACCACATTTAAGAGAATCCATAATTTTGTTTCTTTTTAGCTGGTTTATTCTATCTGACTAAAAGATGAATGTATAGAGCAATAATTATAGCTCTATGTTGATGGACACACATATATGAACATATAATTTGTGACAGTAACAGCATAAAAGGTGAGAACAGGACTACATAAGAACAGTATTTTAGTACGGTATTGAAATTAATTTGCTATTAATTCAAACTAGATGTTATAGATTATGATGTCAATAGAAAACTGTAGGTGAATCACCAAGAAAATTAGTGAAAAGTATATAGTAAAAGAAAGGCAAGTAAACTCAAATCAAGCAGAAAGTAGGAAACTATAAAAGTTAAATTATAAATAAACTAATTAAAAATAAATATGAATAAATAAACAGTAGAGTTAGAAAAGAAGTTGTTTCTTTGAAAAGGAACAAAAGAATTTACAGACTTCTTAGCAAGCCTGGCCACAAGAAAAAAGAGGGAACACTCATATTAATTAAAGAAGGAATATTACTACTAACTTGACAGAACCAAAAGGAATATAAAGTGTAGCTATGCATACACTATTTTGCAGGTAATAAACTTGATAACATAGATTAAGTAAAAAAAAGTCTCAGAAGCACAAGGTTTACTTAGCATTTGAAAATTAATTGATATAATATGTCATAGTAATGCAATATAAAACAAGCAATCATCATTATCTCAAAATGCAAGCATACACCCACACAAAGAAAAAGGCAAAAATCAAAACCCCTTCAAGAGAAAAAAAATCAAGAATTTAGGAACAGAATAGAACTTCCTCCCCATGATAAAAGGCATCTAAGAAAAACTCATGGCTCACATTACCCCTAATGGTGAAAGACTGAATGATTTCCCCTTGAGGTCAGGAACAAAATAAGAATGTAAGCTCCCTTATTTCTATTCAGCAAGTTGCTGGAGCTTCTGCCAGGGCAATTAGGTAACAAGTGGAATGGAAGGCAATCAAAGAACTACCAGAACTAATACAGATTCAGCAAGGTTGCATAATACAAGATCAATAGACAAAAATCAATTGAATTTGTTTTATATTTCCCAGTGTCAAAAAACTTACTGCAAAACTATAGTCATCAAGAGAGTAGGCCTCTGGCAGAAGGCTAGACATATAAATTAACAGAATAGAATTGAGACTCTAGAAATAAACCTACACATTTATAATCAAGTGGTTTTTTATTTGAATGTGTTATTTATTTGACAGGAGGAGATAAAGAGAAAGAGAAAGAGAAATGGAGATCTCCCAGCCGCTGGCTCATTCCTCAGATGTCCTCAGCTGGGGTTGGGCTATGCTAGACAGGGACAGGGAACTCTGCCTAGGTCTTCCACATGAGTGCCAGGACCCAGGTATTGGAGTCATCTCCTGCTGCCCACCTCCATGTGCATTAGCAAGAAGCTGGAACTGGAAACCAAGCCCAGACTCAAACTCAGGCACTTTGATATAGAATGCAAGGATCTCACGTAGCAGCGTAACCACTATGCCAAATGCTAACTCCTAGACCACTATTTTTTGCCAAAAGTGACAAGAATAATTCAGTTGGAGAAAGAATATAATTTTGAACAAATGATTCTGGGGCAACTAGATATTCACACTGAAAATAAATGACATTAAATTCCTTTTTGATACCATATAAAACAATCAACCACAATAAATTATAGATCTACATGTCAGAGCCAAACATATAAGAATCTTAGAAGAAAATACTGCAGTAAATCTCATCTTAGAAGAAAACACTGGAGTAAATCTCATGATCTTATGATGGTCAAACTCTTCTTAGATATTCCACATACTTGGACTTTATCAAAATTAAAATTAGTTTGCACTTCAAAATAAATTAAAAAATGAAGATAAACCATGAAATAGAAGAAAATATTTGTCAACCATATATTTCTTAAGGGATCTGCATTTAGAATACATAAACTCTTTCTACATTTTAAGAATATAAAGAAAATAATCTAATTGAAAGACAGGTTCTAAGTGGGCATTTCTTCAAGGATTATATGTAAATGGTCAGTAATAGTCTCAGGAAAAGATGTTAAACATCTTTAAATATTAGGGAAGTTCAAATCAAAACCACAATGGGATACCACTTTATATCCATTAGAATGATTATTCATATAAAAAATGCAAAGTAACAAGTGCTGGTGAGAATGTGGAGAAACTGTAACATTTGTGTGTTGTTGGTAGGAATGTGAGGTGGTATAGCAACTGGGCAAAAGAACATAGTGGTTTCCTAACAAGTGAAAAACATAATTAACATTTTACTTAAGTATACTTCTGGATCTATCCACAAATGAAAAGCTGAAAGCAGAAAATGAACAGAATATGTGTGTACCTATCATCATAACACCATTATACAAAATGTCCAAAAAGTGGTATGGAAACAGTCCGAATATCCATCATCAGATGGGTGGGTAAACAAAGTGGCATACATTTAGAAAGTGGAGCATATTCAGTGTAAGAAAATAAGATACTGATACATGCTACAGTGTGACTGAATGAGAGAAGCCATACATAAAAGGTCTGTTCATAAATTACCAGAAAAGTCACATTGATAGACAAACAGACCAGTGGTTTCCAGGTGTGTGAACAGGGGAGAATGTGGAATGACTGCCATTGGGTATGGGTTTTTATTTTGAGGTGGGAAAAACATTCTAGAATTGATTGTAGTGATCATCACACAATTCCATTCATGTACTAAAACTCATTGAATTATAGACATCCAATGGATGCAGTATTTATTCTATGGCATTTTAATTATATCTCAACACAGGTGTTACAAGAAAGGCCCTGGGTCCCCAACAGCAGAACACAAATAACAAGGAGTGAAAAGACTGGTGGTACAGAAAAGGAAGGTTTTGCAGGTCTCAAACCTACAAGGCTGTGTGTCAAGGATGCTGGATTTCATTAACACATGACAGAAGGTGACCTAAAGCTATGAAGAACAGAGTCACTGAGTGTCAATGTGTAGGTCACAGAAGGTGGCGATAGCAGACTAAAGGGGATGAGGAGCGTCTGTTCTCAGGAGGGAGCAGGGAGGACTTGCTGCCAACTGCAAGAATGCCCACGTTGCATTTCAATAGCATTCTGGGCAGAAGGAGAGGCTAAGGACCCTTGAGATAAGAATAGATATGATAAGGAAATCAAACGTTGAATTTATTGTGTAAGTTCTAAACTGCTGAGATTTAACTCAAAGAATCTGAATGCACATGGAAGAGATTAAGTTTTGAACTGAGTGATCATAAATGCTGCAGATTAATTTTTCTTTTCCCACTATTATAGGAAGGGTTGTTGTAAGCCATGGAGTTCAAGTAGAGAAAAATAGAAAAAATTGCATTCTCTCCTCACTGTGTCAGAACGAGCAAACTTTAAACTCCTTATCATCCATTAGTGAACAGGGTACTCAAGGAATGGTCCTAAACTGATACCCTCACTGGTAACCCAGCAGTCACATAGAGGCTGAACTTCCAGTCTTATGTTGGGAAAACCAGTGTGTGATGAAGAAGTGGTGAAAGGTTGAAAACCATGGGCTCTGTGACTTTGGATAACATGACAATCTCTTTTGTAATTAATTTGCCTTGCCTTTAAGGGAGTTGAATTAGACAACTAGTAGGTTTTCTTCCAGCACTAAACCACTGATTCTCCAGTCTTGAAATGTCTGCCACATCTTAGCCAAATTCAGCTGGGCATTGTCTTTAGCGAGATGGTATTCTCCTCTCTTTCCTTGGCTAGACCCCTAGTAGCTGGACTAAGGGCAGCGAGACATAAAGTGCAATTACCTGTGAGGTGCTGTCGGCTCCTATTTCTGCAGCCACATTTTGCAATTAGCTCAGGAGTAGTCACATCACTGTGACAGCTGAGACAGTAAAAGGAGGCTCTGGACAATGAAAACAAATCAAGAATGACTTATGTGAGACTTAACACTAAGGATGCGAGGTGCTGACTCAGTCTGCCTCCCATTAAGTTCTATTTGCTTTAGTGCTTCCCCTTCCCCATAAAGTAATCAAAAAATTACCTTTTGACTTCTTTTGAAGATTCAGCAATAAAGAACCCTAATGTATTCTTACGCAGCCTAACTTGTGCAGGGGGATTGAGTATCAAGCCACTGGAAATGGAAAATAAAAATACAGTCATTTCCCCCTCTAATATCTGTGACAAGATTTGGTATTTCACTCTGTCATCACCAGTGGGGTTCTCTAAGTTGCTGAGTTAATAGAATTCAATCTCCTTTTACTGTCAAACACAGTGGAAAGTGAGAATCTGACTATATTTGATCCTTTTGCAGCTGAGGGGAGGGGCCGTTCCTGCCTGGTTGTGTCATGAATCTAAGATGGTCCAATCAGTCCAGGTGAATCCCGCCTTGCTAATTTAGGCTATCACATGACGAGTAGTCCACGACCACATTGTTCTAGGTCTTGTGGTCACCTGCCATTTCAAATTAAATTATAGCTAATTAACCAGATGGTTCCAAAAGTGTATTTTGTTTACTTATATAGTTTTTGAAGGTGCACATTGCTTTTGGCTTTCATTGTGCTCCTGTAGACTGCAAGATTTTTGAGAGCAGCAGCCATGCAATTTCTTTCTATTTCTACATTAATTGAACATTTTGCTTTTCTGTTTTATTATGGATTCTGTGCTTGAAAAGGCTGTATTACAAATTTCTATCCATGATATTCTTTGATGCAGAACTCCACTATGGGTTTTTGAGTGACCTACATTTCTCCTTGTTTATCAAGGTCTCTCCTCTTCATTTCCTTTTGTTCAGACCTCCGTTAGGGTGAGGTCTCATAACCTCATTTTCTGGTTTGCTTTAGGGCATGATGAACGTACTTCTTCCCTCTAAATGTCACTCCCTTTTTATATTCACATTGGAATGAGGGTAAGTCCTAATTCTGGCAATTTTTAACTTACTCTGTTGTTAGGATACTCCAAAGACATTTGCAAATGTTAATAAATCTTTACAGAAATAAAAGGGCTTACACAATGAAAACTCTTCAGCCCTATGCCAAGAGTTAAAGGGAGCTGAACAGCTATGTTCAGGTGAATTATTACCTGAGACAATGGGTGGCATTTTCTGAGTGTTTACTGACTGATATGAATGAGTGGAATGTTTGGATTTGTATTCAAAAGGGAAAGAGTGTGGATTTTTGACCCCCTGAATATCATTGGTTGATATACCTAATTGTGTCTTACATATCTCCTTTTCTGCTTTAAAGATGTGTGCGTGTGGGCGGGCGGGGAGGTGTTCTTAGAACTTATGTCAAATATGTGGCTATGAAGATATTGTAATGACAATATATCTGGTTGCACTGAGAGGTGATATGAGTGTCTCCTGAGGATTATGCTGATCTGGCATTATTATTTGACAGTCTCCTTCCTAAAGCTCAGCCAGGTACTCTCCTGGAGAAATGGTCTGCCACTGGGACAAACTCAGAACGCTCTCCCACGGAGGTCAGCTGCAGTGGCATCCCTTAGCAGGTGATACATAATTGCCCAAGATGATTCTTTATGATTACCCTGTACTTCTGCAAGTCTTGGTCTTTTCAAGTGTATCGATTAGGGAACATGTCCAGGCTTCCACACATCAACAATGATTGTGGTTGCTTAGTAACATGGTGATCAGAAGTATATCTCCCAGAGATGGACTGTCTGAGTTCACATCCTAGCTCTGCCATTTGGGGATCCTGTGAACTTGAGAAAATTACTTGATCTCTCTGGGCCTCAGCTTCCGTCTCCATAAAATGGGACTAGTAACTGTACCCATGTCATAGTGTTGTGTGGGATTAAAGAATCTATGCCTGTACAGTACCTATAGCAATCTTGTCCATGAAGTAGCAGTCTTCTGAGAAACTGCAGTCAGTGTCTTTGCTAAACTCTTTTAAAGATGTGACTTTTCAATGAGAAATTGAAGTTAAATCTGTGTTGGAACTTGTCCCTCTTTGATTGGGAGGGATGGGTGCTCTGTGGTAAACAGCACCAAGTCCTCTTGAACATATGTGAAAATTAGTAGCTTAATAAATGTTCATGTTTCTGGTCTATCATATCCTAACAGTCATCTTAATACAATTTACAGAAATCTGGTGTGTTAGATCTGGAAAGATATTAAGAACATGTGATCCAGTAGTTTCCAAATGCCAGTGAACAAACTAAATATATATTATGGAGACTTAAAAAATCCTTAGGCCCCACCTTTAGAAACAGGTTTTTGCCAGGCCAGAAATGGGGTTTTAGAACTTATATGTCTTTTTAAAAGTTTGCAAAAAAATTAGGTGCATAGCACAGGTTGTTGATGGTCAAAGAAGTTACTGAAACTTGATCAAGAGCTAGATCAGTCTGAAACCCAAACTTTCTGGCTTATGATTGTAAGCCTACCCATTGTACATGAACTGTTTCCAGAAGAGAGTCTGTTTGTGCGGATGATAATATGCACAGGTTTAGACTGTGAGATTTTCTTGAGCATGGCAGGATTGTTAAATAGAATTTCACGAGCCAAATAACACTACTTGCTATTCTCCCCTTAACAATTTGCTGCAGTATCCTACTGATTTTTTTCTGCCGAGCTTTTTGTCTAGGTCTTCTCTAGTGAGATAGGACTTTTATTCTTTCCATATAAATTTCATATAAAATCATTTTCTATAAAATCATTCCTTCATGGCCCATCTGATATCATTTAATATTGCAGAATTTTTAGCTTTTCACTACAATTCTAGGATTCTCAGTGATGCCAGTCTTTCAGGTGGAAGGGATCTTAGAGATTAATCTACGTGACTTCCTCATTCTATAAATGATGAGCACTTCTCCAAAGCCACGGGGCTAGCAAATCATAATTCCAGATCAGAATCTAGGCTGTGGATGTCAGTTTCTAGCTTGAGTTAGTTTTCTACTAAAGAACACACATGAACCAACATAATAGCATTTCTTGCTCCCCATCCCATCTAGTCTTCACTTTTTCTTATTTTTCAGCATCTTTTGTCTCTGCACAAGTATTGTTGTAGCTAATTCTTGTTCTTTTGCTCCATTTCCTTCCTTTTATGTATATGTAGGTTTTTTGACACAGATTTTCTTTTTTATGACATGACTTCTCGTACTTATCATATTATGACTTATGCATTCTCTGGACACACTGGTGTACTGATAAGGTCACCTCTAACCCTTTCTCCACTCTATCAATAGCAGACTTTGTCCAGTGGCCCAAGAGAATCTCAATTTTGCAAAATTTTGCAGCTTATCTGAGGCTATTTTATTTCATAGTTTTATTTTAAGGCCAAGACCTACACGATCTGGTCATATTGTTAAGAAGAGCAGATCTGAGAAGGGGACCATTTCTTCTCTCCCATGCTCATGAGAGAAAACTGGGGCAGGGTCACTGGAATAATGGCGTGGTGTTTACCCCCTCAGATGAACCATTCCAACCCCAGTCTTAGAGACAGCCCTGAGCCCACCACAGTGGTGGGAGCCCCGTGTCTGTGTGGCTGGCTCTCAACACATGGCAAAGAGCCCAGCAATGGCTGAATCTTTGGAAAAGTCTTAATGATAAAGAGTCTCCTTAAAAAATAACTGAAGAGATGAGAAGCCTTATTGGTACCAGTAACCACCGTGAACGACAGATTTGTGTTCGATGGCTATGAGCATGAGATTCATCTTCACAAAGCAGAGCCTAGGAAGAAAGACAAGAAGAAGGTGTGAGAAGAGAGGAAGAAGCAGAGAGCTAGTTTACCAGAATGTGGCCATGCCAGGGAGAATACCAGAGTGTAGAGGAGGGAGAAGGAACTCTCAAATAAGGAATTTTCTTTTTCTTTTTCTTTTCTTTTACAGGCAGAGTGGACAGTGAGAGAGAGAGAGACAGAGAGAAAGGTCTTCCTTTGCCGTTGGTTCACCCTCCAATGGCCGCCGTGGCCGGCGCACCACGCTGATCTGAAGGCAGGAGCCAGGTGCTTCTCCTGGTCTCCCATGGGGTGCAGGGCCCAAGCACTTGGGCCATCCTCCACTGCACTCCCGGGCCACAGCAGAGAACTGGCCTGGAAGAGGGGCAACCAGGACAGAATCCGGCGCCCCGACCGGGACTAGAACCCGGTGTGCCGGCGCCGCTAGGTGGAGGATTAGCCTAGTGAGCTGCAGCGCCGGCCAAATAAGGAATCTTCACTTACATGTGAATCCACCTGAAACAACTGCCAGCCAGTGTGCCAGTGGGCCGGGGAAGAAGCTGCGCCACAAAGACTCTGAGCTACTCACTATTTTATCTTCAGTCTTTATAATGGAGTCCACTCAATGGTGAGCCCTGGATGACCAGTGTGGAATGAAAGAACAAGGACAGAATTTCCCGTCAACTTACCGGGAAACTTCAGGAAAACTCATTCCAGCAAAATCATCGGAGAGACGTTGAGTTAGAACTTTGTTCTTCAGACCATTCAAGAAATGTTTCTCCCAGGGCTGTTTAGGAATGATCTGGAATACAGAATCACGCCACACATAGCATGTTCGTGTGGATACAGGATGCTCTCAATGAAGTTCTACATTATGTGAAGTGGCAAATTAGTCTCCTTGCCAGTTCAAGCAGGAGCCAAATCTCATTTCTTGGGGGACCACTTGCTGTCCTTAAGTTCTTTTTTCTATACCTGGTCTTGACATCAGGTTAGAGTCAAGATTCAAAATCAATTTACAAGGTTACCTTTTTGTTTTGCTCAACAAATAGAGACGTTAGAAGGGTGCACAAGCCTGGCACCAAGCAGCCTTGGGCAATGAATCCAAGCTTTAATTCAGCAAAGCAGATGATATTGTCTCCAGTACTCCAGTTCCAGCTGGGAATCCTTGGCAAGTAGACCTGTTTTGTGGGAGAAAGTAGGTCAACCATTCAGCGTACACATACCTTAAGAAAGCTCGTTTAGATGGGGGTATTTTTCTTTCATTTAATTTGCTTGAAATCACTTATACTTTACTGTTGGGCACAAAACTGGTACCCAGAACAATGGAGGTGATAAGAACAAATGCAACATTTGAAAGTGATTAGTGGCCAACCTTTCCAATTAAAAAAATAAAAGTATAAAAAGCTGGAGTTGAAAAATCAGGTCAGATGGCTTAGACCACTAATTCTGCCTCCAATTTATACTCCAAGTGATGAACAATCTTAATGAGACTCCAAATTTCATCTGCAATTGGCAAAAACTTTTCATATGTAGACTCATTACATATTAATAAGGTTTACAGCATTTTATAGACTAAAAAAGGAAGAGCCTGAAAATTTTAATACGTTATAATACCTTGTTATGGGACTGAAGTATTTGTATGATGACTCTGGTCTTGGGGTAATAGTTCTTGATGCAGCGTACCCTTCAAAAATTGCAAATGCACTCGTTAGTAATGCACATGAAGCCAAGTCTCTTTGTAATATAATTCAATTCCAAGTTAAATTGGTGTGTGTGTAATGTAAGAAAACTTAACATACTATACAGTTCATTCCTATGCTGTTTTCTAAAAATATGCAGTTGAATAACATACACTGCAGAGTGGTACTGTTTTACCGAGTTAGTAAATGAGATCTACTGAAAAGTCAGATGTTGATATTAAAAGATCATGGTCTTCTGGGGCCAGTTCTTGGGAAGAAATAAACAGATTCACATGTTTTAGCCCTCAAACCCAAACACAATTACAGGAAACAATGGAAGTTTAATTGCTGTGTGTAGCTTGAAGTAGCTCACAGACTGTGAAATTCAACTTTTTCATTTAGAAACCAAGGAACTACTATCTCCCTCATATTTACTGTGTTAGGCACGGTCCTACACGTGTTTGGCTGTTCCTTGCTGTTTGTAGAACCACTTTCAGTATGTGTATTTGTGTTCTGGAAGACAGACGTTCATCTGGATTGTGCACAACACCTCTGCCATCACAATCGTCATTGACTTTGCCACAAGTCAAATTCCCAATCACAGTTAAAGGTGATGATACTAACTCTGGCATTCTTGAATATATAGCATACTGAACCTTGACTGAAATTTCCCTAGCACTACTGAAAAACAATCCCAATAAATAATTTGTGCTAACAGAGTTCCCAAATGTCATCTTGATTTTTGAGGAGGAGAAGGTCTTAATTATTTGACTGCTCCTGTCTGAATAGCAACCAGTTATTGGTGCAATTGCTTTTTTAAAAATTCAGACAGCTATGAGGAACACCATGAAAAAAATGGAATTAAAATGTACATTGTCCATGCACTTTTTGAAGACACCTTGTGCTATCGACTGAAACCTCCGGTGCATACACAGAGGAGCACGTACGCAGTCAGGGGGCTTTGCAGCTGCTTGCCTAGTCAGAGGGGGACTGAGGCAAATAGGAAGCAGAATTCTGAAACGTGATGAAACTCGCTCTGCCGTAGATGGCATTTTCTGCACTTGGCTTTATTTCAGAAGAAGTAGAAGAAGTGGAAACTCTGGAAACACAGTGCCAGCTTCTTACCTCATGACGTTTGAAGTGTCTTCAGCATGCGAGTCGCTGCACAAAGGGTTGGCTATGATCAGGCAGGCTTCTGCAGATTCCACCTGCTCTTCAAGACGAAATAGAAGCCGTCTTGTTAATTACACGGGTAATGCTCTAGCATTCCCATTTGGGTTCTCTGATGGCTTTTGTCACTGAATTGCCAACAAGAATGGGAATGCTTTTGAGAAGCAGTTGTGGTATTTTTACACCAGTATCAGTCCTGTTAGTGTTGCAAGGCCTGTGAGGACTACAGCTGATGGACCAGGGCACCGTGTCCCTAATGTAGATGTTAAGATTATTTTTAAATAGGTAAAGTACCAAGTCATGCTTTTCCTCCTGTCTATCACAATCATTTTATGTCTAGTAATGAGCAATAAAACCTTTTAAAGAAACTGCCTGTATATTTATTTGTCTTTCAGCACAGTAATGCATAGAACAAGTGGGAGTCTGCTTAGCCAAGGCAAGCAGTCATTCAAAAATGTGGATTTTGAATCTTGAGGTGCCTAGGAAGTTATTGAACGATCTTATAGTACTAAATAGCAAGAAAGAGAAAGACTGTGCTGGATCTGTCATTTTTTTTTCTGCTTCAATTCATTGTATTGACTCTATGGATCTCTGCTTTAAACTAAAACTTTTGGGTTTATTGATTCTGCGAAACTTAGAACATGACAGAAGTTGTCTTTGATCTTGAACGAAACCTGTCTCCAGAGAGTTGGTTGTGGCTCGTTATTTTTAGTTCCAATCTTCATAGGATTCCTGCTATTCTCCCTCATGTTTCTGCCATCAGAAGGCATGCTAGTGTGTTTACGAAGAGACACTGATGGGGGGGGCATGATCAAACACAGTTTTTCTATCCATAACTTTGCATGTCTCTTATGCTGAGAAAACAAAACTGCCCTAGATAAACAGAGAACTTAATGACATGAATAATTTAAACACATGTGGGGGAAACGTGGAGGTGTGCGTGATAGTTACCATGAGGATTTGGAGGTTAATTACTGCACTTCCTTTCTGATCAGTTTCTGAAGTGCATGAAGTCAGTATTTTCCCCCAATTAAGGAGTCTGGAGCAATACCCTTGCAGCAGAGCCGTGTATTTAGCACCGTAAGTGCTGCAGCTCCAGGAACCTGGGAGGAGGGTAAGATCGAGGCCTTACCGCAACCCGCTTCAGATCCTCCCACTTCAGTGCAGATCCGCAGATAAAAGTCGTGTAGGCCAAATTGCACTTAAATATCGTCTCCAGCTCCAAAGAAGGAGGGGACCTGGGCGAAAAGGAGAAGAGAATGCCGACTCGCATTCAGAGGTTGCTATACGTCATTGGTGCATTTCATAAGAGGCTCTAAATACCTATGCTTTTGGGAAACATCTGTCCTCCAATATTAATCCAAGTGGTGGGGTCGGTCCTGTGGCGTAGCAAATAAAGCTGTTGCCTGAAGCGCCGGCACCCATATGAGTGCCAATTCTAGTCCCGGCTACGTCACTTCTGATCCAGCTCTCTGCTGTGGCTGGGGAAAGCAGCAGAAGATGGCCCCTGCACCCACATGGGAGACCCAGAAGAAGCTCCTGGCTCCAGATGATCTCAGCTCCAGCTGTTGCAGCCATCTGGGGAGTGGACCAGTGGATGAAAGACCTCTCTCTCTCTGCCTCTCCTTCTCTCTCTGTGTAACACTGACTTTCAAATAAATAAATAAATTTTAAAAAAGGAATCCAGGTAGTTAGGTGATGTTGATGCCATTAACCTAACTCCACGGCTAGGCATTTAGTTCAGGCTCTTTCAGTCAAATTCCCATGAAGAAACAAGTGAATGCTAATTAAAAAATGCAATATTATGGGTGAAGAAGTTCACTACATAGTAAAAAAAAAGAGAGCTAATTGAAAATACATAACATTTTAAAACAACTACTGTAATAAAATACATGAGGTAAAAATGGCAAAACTAGAGGGAGAAATGGATGCATCTGCCACTATGAAGAAGAATTTCAGTATGTCTCGATTATTAAGAGATTAAACAGAAAAATCAAGCATGTAAGTTTCATATTTATAAATTCTTCAACCAACATTCAGAAAGGTTAGTTATTTTCAGTAGCCCAAGAATATTTACCAAGGTGATAATTAATTAACCAAGAAGGAAAGTTTCAACACTTTACAAAAGATATTGTCCATATGATGATATTTGAATACAGTATAATAAAATTACAAGTTAATAACCAGAAGATAAATAAAAATATCCCTCATATTTAGAAATTATAAAAATTAGACACAAAATATTGTGGGCTAAGAAGAAATTAAAATAATTCTTATAATTGTTCTTAGGAATAAAATATTTTTAAAATATTAAATATGACTTTGGATACAACAATGGCAGTGTTTTGGGTGAGATTGATAGCTTTTGACACTAATATTTGAATAAACCCAAAGAAATAAGAAGGAAATAGATAATAACAACAAGGGTGGGATAAAATGAAGTAGAGAAACAAAAGAACAGAAAATAAACAAGATCAAAAGCTGGTTCTTTGAAAAATTACTTAACATAACAAGCAAAATTGGTAAAATTGATGGAGATAAAAAAGGAGACAAAAATGACTTAGATTGAATGAAGAGGATTTAATGCTTCCAGGAAAAATAAATGTAGAATATGAAGTAGACAACAAACAACCATGTACCAACAGCTTTGAAAACAGGCAAAATAGACAGATTACTAAAGAGATTTTACCAGAACTGATTGTGGAAGGATGAAAGAAAGAAATTGAAGGTTGGCTTAGAACCAAAACAAAATCAAAGGAAACATACACACACACACATACACACACACATGCACACACACTAAACAAAATGTATGTACTTAGAAATCTTATTTTTTAAAACAACAGATAATGTTATGTGACTTTTATTATGTAGAACATTATGGTTTTGTGGATGATTAAGTCCAACAAGCACAATACTTCATACAGTCACCATTTTTGTGGTGGCAGTGTTTAACATCTGCTTAACATTTTTCAAGAACACAATATGTCATCATCACCTTGTGGGAAAATAGATCTCTTGAAACGTATTGCTTCTATCCAACTGTGATGAAGTATCATTTAACATGAATGGCAGGACTTCAAAGACTGAATAGAATTCTATTGTGTATGGATATCACATCTTTATTTACTTTTTGATGGCATCTTGGTTGATTCTATATCTTGGCATTGTCAATAATACTGCAGTAAACATGTGGGAATGCCAACACATCATCAGTACACTAATTTCATTTATTTTGGATAAATACCAAGCATTGGGATGGCTGAATCATGTAATTCCATTTTAACTTTTTTGAGAAACAATCCTACCATTTTATGAAATAGCTACAATAATTTATATTCCTATCAACAATGCATGAACATTCCCCTTTCTCCACATCCTCACCGACTTTTGTATTCTTTTGTCCATTTGCTAGCTAACATTCTAGCTAGGGTGAGGTAATACCTCTTCGTGATCTGCATTTGTTCTTGTGGTTTCAGTTTGATGATTAGCAACGCCGGCATTTTTTCATATAATTCTTGACTATTTAAAAAAAAAGATCAAACAAAATTTATAGTACCACTAGTCCTAGATTGTTTTACAGGTTTGCACCAAGCAAATAATTTCATTTTATGTGAAATATTTCAAAGTCATATAATATGTAATAGTGCTCAGCAAATAGAAGAAAACCAAGATAACCATCATTCCAAAAATACTAATGTAATACAATATATTAATATATTAAGAGTCCAAAATTATTTAGTCTTGCAGAGACAAATTGTTAAAAATATTTCTTAATTTTTATTTATTTTTTAAAAAGATTTATTTATTTGAAAGGCAGAGTTACAGAGAGGCAGAGAGAGGGAAGGAGGGGAGAGAGAGAGAGAAGAGAGGTCTTCCATCCACTGGTTCACTGCCCAGATGGTGGCAATGGCCTGAGCTGCACCAATCTGCAGCCAGGAGCCAGGAGCTTCTTCCAAGTCTCCCACATGGGTGCAGGGACCCAACCACTTGGGCCATCTTCTACTGCTTTCCCAGGCCATAGCGGAGAGCTGGATCAGAAGTGGAGCAGCCGGGACTTGAACCACCATTCATATGGGATGCTGGCACTGAAAGTGGTGGGTTTATATTGAAATGTATTTCATGGTATATTAGGATAGAAAATAATTCTTTAGCATAATAAAGAACATCTTTAAAATAAAAAAGAATCTTTGATGATAAAATATTGAAGTGTCTTTTAAAAATGAAGTAAACATAATTTTATCATAAAGGATTTCTTTTTTATTTTAAAAAACTCTTATCTGATGCTTCAACAAGTACAGTAAGAAAAAAATACAAATTTCACAATAAGGGTTGGAGAAAAGAAAAAAGCTGTATTCATATCAAATGATGTGATTATTTATGCAGAGTCCCTTAATACTACTGCAGAAAAAAATAGAGGAATGTATGTAGATTAATATAAGATTGATATGCAAAAGTGAATTGTGTGTTATCTATACCAATAGTAAATAACTAGAAAATATATTAAAAAGATGATTTTTAAAAAAGATTATTTATTTGAAAGTCAGAGAGAGGGAGAGGGAGAAGAAGGGGGGGGAGAGAGAGGAGAGAAAGAGAGAGAGAGAGAGAGAAATCTTCCATTGAGTGATTCACTCCCCCAAATGGCTACTAATAGCCACAGCTGAGCCAGGCTAATGGCAGGGGCCAGGAGCTTCATTCAGGTCTCCCACAAGGGTGACAGGAGCCCAAGAACTTAGACCATCCTCTGCTGCTTTGCCAGGTGCATTAGCAGGGAGCTGTATTGAAAGTGGAGCAGTAGGGACTCAAACTGGTGCCCATATGAGATGCTGGCATTGCAGACAGCATCTTAACCTGATACACAAAATACCAGACCCAAAAGTGATATTTTTCTTAACATCAGAAAATACCAATTATTTAGAATTTCTCTCTCTCTCTCTCTCTCTCTATATATATATATATGTATATGTCTCTCTCTATATATGTATGTATATATATTTGTAAACAGAACTTTCTCTATGATACACAATATACTAGGCCATAAAACAAGTGTCAGCAAATAAAAAAATGAAATCAAACCATATATCTTATTTGACCACAGTGGAATGAAGCTGGAAATTAACAACTTAAGAGTTTCTAGGATATATGCAAACACATGGAGACTGACCAAAATGCTCCTGAATGAACAGTGGGTCATAGGAGAAATCAGAAGAGAAATAAAAAATTTCTAATTTCTGGAAATGAGTGAAGATGACAATACAACATATCAAAACTTATGGGATACAACAAAAAGCAGTGTTCAGAGGGAAGTTTAGAGCAATTAGTGCCTACATCACAGAATTGGAAAGGCATCAAAAAATGAGCTATAAATGTATCTTAAGGACATCAAACAACAACAACAAACCAAACCCCAAATTAGTATTAGGAAAGAAATAATTAAAATTAGAGAAGAAATCAAATTGAAACCAAAAACAATAAAAAAGTCAGTGAGATGAAGAGCTGCTTTTTTTGAAAAATTAAACAAAATTTATACACCATTGGCTAAACTAACCAAAAAAGAGGGAGAAGACCCTTATTAAAAATAAGAGTTGAAAAAGGAGATGTAACAATGAACACAACAGAAATAAAAAGAATCATTAGGAATTATTACAAACAGTATGCCAACAAATTGGAAAATCTAGAAGAAATGGATAGATTCCTGGACACATACAATCTACCAAAACTGAGTCAGGAAGGCATAGAAAACCTGACCAACATGGTGATTTAATCAATAGTTAAGATCCTCCCAACAAAGAAAAAGCCCAGGACCATATGGAGACATCACTGAATTCTACCAGCCTTTTCAAGTTGAACTAATTCCATTTGTTTTCAAACTATTGAAAGCAATTCAAAGGGAGGGAATCCTCCCAATTTCCTTCTATAAAGCCAGCATCACTGTAATTCCAAAACCAGCACAAGATAAAACAAAGAGAATTATAGACAAATATCACTGATGAGCATAGGCGCAAAAATCCTCAACAAAAATACTAGCTAATGGAATCCAACACACATCAGTAAGAGGATTCACCTGAATTAACTGGAATTTATCTCTGGTATGCAGGGATGGTTCAATATACACAGACAATGCCATGGCTGAGAAAGAACTCAAAGATCAGTCCCAATCACAATAGCTAACAAAACATTTAAATACCTTTGAATCAATTTAACCAAGAAGTTGAAATATCTCAATGATGAAAAAGCA